GGTGCGTATATATACCTAATAGAATAGACATGTGACTAGTTTACGTAAAGGTAAAGTATATACTTTATACAGGTATAACATAAAAAGTAAACAAACAAGAGTATTAAAAATTATGAATTTTAAAATGAAGCACAGATCCTGCAACAAAATTTTTGAAACGAGAATTAGAACCACAACCACAAATTTAAGAAAATTAATCCTTACTTTGGCCTACAGATAAGTGCATAAAGCTGCCAAAGTAAGGATAAAATTTTATAAATTTGTGATTGTGGTTTCTTGTTTCATTACTTTTTGTAGCAGGATCTCTACTTTATTTTAAAACTCATAATGTTTTAATACTCTTGTAGTATTAAAAACTGCTTACCTTATCATGATTTATGCATTGAAATTCTCACAAAGCATTAGGAAATTTTACAAAAAAATGCAAAGCACAAGTGAAAATACTATGTAGAAGAACAATACTAGAAATACAATATCTACCCGTACTTTGTATGTAATAAAAAATGCATTATAGATAAGTTATTTAAATATACAAACAAGTAAATGTGAAACTGTGAAAAAACTAAGTTATTCTTTTAGTGTTTTGTATCTATACATGTGCTTTTGATTAAATTACCACTTCATTTTGTATTATAATTGCTTCTTTTTTGTATGTTACCTCAAAAAAGATGTGTTTTTGTTTACATTAACTAAATTGACACTGATTAAGAACTATATTCAAAAACCAACTGGAAAAGAAATTAAGCTTAATATCTTATCTTGGGTAACTCTTCTATATCAGGTAATTGAACAGAGGAAAACATCTTATATAAAACTTTATAAAATAAGCTTTTATGAAAAGTTTACCTTGCTGAAAGTCAGTACGACCACAACCACGAATAAGGAGAGCATCTCCAGTAAATGCCATCTTTTGATTGTGACAAACATAAGTCAAACAACCTAGAAATTAAAACAAAAAGTCATATATATATATATATTATCTTGGATTTAATAAATAGAAAACTGATCAATAATTAAGTAACAATGTACATGAGCATGTTTAGAAGTATAATCTAGTAAACTACTTTGAATAATTTTAGAACAGATGAACACTGTGGATTAATGGGTTATAGTAACTGTCAATTTAATGAACCGGGTGTTTGCAGCAGCAACAACAACAACAACAACAAAAAAAAAAAAAAAAAGAAGAGAAAACAACAATTACTCCAGGAATAAAGTACCCAATGTGCATGTGTATTTTTTTTATACAGACGGATATTTGAGTTCACAGTAATTCTTTTTATGATTGTTGTGAAAATGTCATTATTTTTAATGGTACCTAACTTATTCCCAAAAATAACCAATATAACATTTTTGTTTCACAAGCTCCATCTAATGTATATAACAGACCACAGTACAGAAAGAGGTCTTCAAACAACGACATTGCAACTTTATAGAAAACAATAAAATGTTTAAATTATTCTATAAAATAATATTTAATCCAACCAGAGATCAAATATAATTAACCAAATAATTATTATTAGGTAACAGAATGATTGACTAAGATAGTGTCAAAACATACCAATAACTGGTATAGCTAAGTAGCATGGTCTGCATGCATGTGCATGTTCTGAGATGAAAAGGAAAGCCAGAACTTTCAATTTTTTCCAGGTATGGCAATATTTTTTCATTTTATCAAGGTTTTTTAATCCCTTTTTTTTAACCTCCTTAACTTCTGCAGGCTTTTCTAGGTTCATGAACACCCAATAATAAGGTGCAATGACCACATATGATAATAAATGTCTACTCTTTCAGATGTATCAGACAATGTAACTGTTTGATTATTCCAAATACTTAAGTAGAAGTTGCAACATAACCCTTATGATTTCTCATTACTGGTTTTCAATTAATTCAAGTTTGTTCAGCTCGGAATGGCATGACTCGATGATTAGGGTGGTTACATCTTGAATCAAGAGTTACAGGTTCAATTCCCATTGCTATCAACCATGCTCATCCTTTTCAGCTGTAGGAGCATTATATTTGTTCCTTTATTTTTGAACTACAGTCAAGCTACTGCCAATGAGAGAGATTGCAACTGGCTGGCAGCACCTACTGCTAACTCTTGGGTTAATCTTTACCAATGAATAGGATTGACTATCACAGTATGATGCTCAAGAGTTGGCAGTGAGTGCTGCCAGCCAGTTGCCTTACCTCATGTTCAAAATCCAAAATTAGGGATGGTGGCAGAAAGCATTATTTTTCTTGCTTGGACTAAAAGTAGTCTAACTTGCCCTTTTAGTTACATTCAAAATCTAATTAAACAGCTTTATTATCAATTTATGTCAATAAACTTGGCATGAAAGTGTACTACATCACCATAAAAAAGTCTATGAATCAGCACACTTGTTCTAGTGCTAATTTGTTTACGTCTACATTAGTGCAATGATGAACAAAAAGATAAGTTCTTTTAAGCCAACTATGGAAATGAAACCAATGGTGAGCAGGAGTCATTCGGTGGCAACAAAAATCAAAAGTTGTGTCACAGCATCTGTTAAAACTGCCAATACATTTTTAAAAGAACTGAATATTGTTCCTTGACTATAATCTTAATGAAAATCATTCATCAACAATGACTAAAATGTGGTGTATGACATACCAAGAATATGCAACAGGTCAGTAATCTTTAAACAAGTATTCTAATCTTAATCAAATAAATGAACACTGTTTTGTAATTATGAAATCAATTTAACTAGCTGATATCTATTACCAGTTTTGTTAAAATTTCATTTAAGAAGTGTAAATGTGGAGGGTAAACAAGTTTATATAATACTTCAATTAATAAATCTTCTTTAAACTGGCAAACTCTCTTACTTGAAATGCCTGGCTAACAAGAAACATAGAGGAAACAACTGTTCAATTTCAACGGGTGGAGAAGGGGAGAGGGTTATGTTTTTTGTACATGGACAGTTATTTAAAAGTTAAAAAAAACACTGAAACCATTATCTGATTTTTCATTTTCATTATTGACTTGTTATTAACATTTGCAATACAGATATTTTACTTTAATTATAATATATGTTTATAATAATGCATGAGTATCCAATGAGCCACATAAAAATATTGAAAATAAGCTCAACATTTTAGCAAGTAGTAATTAGAAGAACTTGCCATTTTTCAAATGAGTTTAAAATTAACATTCATGCATTGCAAGAGCAATTTTTTTAATGAAGAATTAGTTTTTTTAATTTTAGTAGTCTTTGAAAGTTTATAGGGAGCAACCCATGGAACAGAATTAATCATATTTTCAGCTTGTTAGATGTATCATACTACATTGCATACATAATAGATTTTCACAAACAATAGTTAGAAAAGTAAACTTGATCCTAAATTGAAGATATCTATCATATTAAATGAAGAGTAATTCAAAAATTTCTTTAACTATTTGACTGCAGCTGCTTCAAATGCATGCAGAATGTTTGTGAGCCTTACACTGTAAACAGCAAATTTGCATTCAACTGCTGAAGGCAGGCCATACCCTATATGGGAAATCAGCAGGCAGTGGGTTAGAGAAAACAAAACAAGCTAAAAATAGGAAGATTATCCTCATTTGAAAATAACTGATTAGTTGAATTTAATGAATTAATAATTAATAAATCGGCAAATTTTACTAATAGCTAAGCTCTATAACACATATTCATATTTAAATTATATTTAAAACAAATTAACATTTAAAACTTTTAAGTTTATTTATGTGTTATATTTAAAACCATAATTGTTTTGAATAATTCTAATTGATGTCAAGGGTACTTTCACAAGTATCAGTTATCATAGGTATGTTCTTTGTAAGTAAAATCATGAACCAGTTTTTTAAAAATTTTATTAATTTTATATCTGAAAAAAACTAATAAAAACATAAACTGATATTAATAGCAAACATCACAATACTGTATTTACAATCCTGGTTGTTCCTTTAAAGCAGATTGTACCTGCAGAATTCAGTAATAGAGCCAAATATTTCATTCGAAATATCCCAGCCTAGGTCAACCAGTGTTAAATACCCTAACCAAGTATAAGCTGATAAGCTGTTTTGAACGGCAAATATATTATTATTTCATGCACAGCCATTAGTTTTATGACAGTTATTCTACTATGTTGCTACAGTTTGGATTTGTATTTCTCTCTCTCTCTCTTTATTAATGAACTTTAGACAATATCTAATGAAGAACTTTGGCTAGAAACATTGTTAATTATTTCAGAGTTTATGCTGAAGATGGAATTAGGAAAATTCTGAAATGTCCACATTTCTTATCCTATCAAAAATTTTATAAATTTGATTTTTGCCAAATGAGCCTTGAGTTTCTTTTTTGTTAACACTATAATTTCAACAATAATCATGTGATACCCATTTGATTGCAGACAGGTGTACACAGTTCAAAACCTGTTATTAATCAGTGATGTCAAATTTTCTATATATAATTTTTTGCAGAACAGTGGTATAGCTTGTCATCAATAAAAGTGGGAGATGTGGAAGTGATAAGGTTAGACTTCCAAGGATGTTTCCAGGGCCACCTAATACAAATCACTGATTCTACAAGATTTCAATACTTAAAAAATTTGTTCTATGACTTTCTAGGATTTTCATAAATTGTGTGAACCCAGTGAATATGAAATTCTAAAACAATATCAAAAAAAAATTTATATTTTGGCAGCATTACTCAGTCATTATCAATAGTTGTCAGTATTTATTGGTAAAAATAAAACTAAACATAACAAACATTTGTTTTCAATAATTTTCATAAAATGGAATTGCCATCAATTTTAAATATTACATAAAAACTGCTTTTTTTATGTATGTACATTTATATAGTCATACTAACCATTTGTATGCCCTGGCGTGCTCCTAGCTTCAAGTTCATATTCTCCAAATTTTAATTTTTCTCCTTGTTCTAAGTGCACATCAGCCTTAGCCTCTGAAGCCTTTGCTATTACACTCTTACAACCAGGAATCTTCTGTTTTATGCGACCTGTGCCAGTGATATGGTCAGCATGAACATGGGTGTTTGCTGCAATAATAATAAAATTAACTTGAAGAAATTACATTCTGCTATACAACAATTAGTCAAAAATATTCCTGGAACACTTTTGTAACATATTTATGAGAGTAAACCTAACAAGATTTTCACACATATTGTTAACTTATTCCTGTCTGAACGTGCTCACAGGTATATTATTAACTGTACAGTCCCAGGATGGTCATCTTAAGTTCATAGTGAAAATCAAATTTCTAGGTGGTATAAAAAGTTAAATTAGTAATTCACTCATAGTTAGGCACTTCTAACAGAATTACTAAAGAAATAAAATTGCATAAAACTTAAATCACACATGTACGCGTGATCTGATGACTTATTTAATGATGATTGTGGAGGACGAAATATTTTATACTAAACTTTTGTTCATTATTTTCTGGAATATGCAGTCAGATCATTTAGAATTTATAATAAAGAATTTTAGTACGAGTTTTTACTTAGAGATTTGTTCCTATCTTTTGCAAATTACACTTTTTTTGTGAAAGTACTTCAAATTTTAAAACACTATCTGCATACGTTAAATGTTTGGAAAATATACCTGAATTTTCTTGAGATGAGAAATTATTCTTATTAAGAGGGTATTTAAATCATCTCAATATCTTTTGATAAAGTGCAAATGAAGTGTACCAGCATAAGCCAGATACACACAAACAATATATAAACATTGTAAAGTTTTAGGTATTTTTATCACATAATCTAAAATGAATTAAAATGTACAAGAACCTTAAATATAATGTATATTCATTCAGTTTTAGTTTGATATAATATATATATATATATTTATATTTGTCCATCACTTGCATTACATTAAATCTCTTGCAAATCTTACAACACAGTCACTAAATCAACTGACAGTTTGGAAACAGCACAAACTTTTAGAGGACTAAGTAATAAATATTGTATTATCTAAAATATTCACATCAATTTAACTTAAAAAAAAAGACTTCTAAATCTAAAAAAATGCAAAAAAATACAGACCTATTACCAGTCAAAATACATTCAATGGTTCAACTTCAATACTGGCTATTAATTTGATCCACAGACATTTCTTAGATACCCATTCCAAGACTTTAGTTGTTTGTGGAGTAAGAAGTTATAATGTAAGCTGTTATAATGTGGAATCACAACAACGATATGATACTGTGTGCCATTATTTGATGCATTTTTAATGGTCTAAATTAATACATTCTATAAACTTATGAGTGAAACCAAAGATTATGTTATAACATGTCAACCACGCTATACCTGCCATAAATACTAGTGACGAGGTCTTTCACACAACACCAGGGCTCATCAGGCCACTAGGAAATGAAAGACATAGTAGTGGTCTAAGGACTATTTATATTATGAATAACTTGAACAGCAACTATTATGGTGTGAACTATATTATACCTGCCATAAATACTAGTGACGAGGTCTTTCACACAACACCAGGGCTCATCAGGCCACTAGGAAATGAAAGACATAGTAGTGGTCTAAGGACTATTTATATTATGAATAACTTGAACAGCAACTATTATGGTGTGAACTATATTAAGAAAGTGAAGAATAATTATCATAAGTATTTTATTTAAGTCTTTTACACTTCAGAAGTATGGTAAGAATTAATAACACAATATCATTTATTTATTTTCAACAGTAATTATTTATTTATTACTATTTTTTTACTTGAATTAACCTTACTATCAATCAGAAGAACTGGTGAACCAACATGCTAGTCTTCTTATTCAGAAAGTGGGTCTTGCAACTACAGAACTAAAGGGAGAAAACTACATCACTAATTCTATAAACTTATGTTATAGTAACTTCTCTTTCACCAAGATAGCCAGAAAAATAATTTTGGAGAATTTATTTTATATCCATATAAACAATTTTGTAGGATTGAACATCAGCTGGAGTTCATAAAATCTATGAAAGTTAGAATACTATATTTCTGTAAGATGAAATTATTGTAGATTTAGTCATTTAAGAGTTCCAATATTATCAGTCAGTCATCATCAACACATTTTTATTGTAAAACAGAAACTGGAACTCAAGCTCTTTGCTGTGTTGGGTTTAGGAACTATTATGTAAATGAGAGTGTATTTGAAACATTTATTATTTTGCTAACTCCAGTAGGTCATCAAATCATATTTAAATCCTAAAAATAATAATTGAATAAAATCCAAAAGATACAGAGGTTAAGTAGGTTATTAACATGATTTTGGAGCCTCTCCACATTGTCATCTTATTCAGTCATGCACTCTCTGACAATAAGAATTCTACAGAATGGGGATACTACTTTTCAATCTTTCTGTATGATGAAATGCAGTGATCCAACTAGAGCCCACACATTAAAATCAGAGACCTGTCTGCCTGTAAATTAAAGGTCTCCTTGGAGTTGGTGTTAATATTTAGTCCCTGTTCATGAGGAATGTTTAAGAATATTGAATCACTTGCATTACTGCAAAGGAAACCCTAGCTTTACCTCAAGAACTGCCTGCATAATTCTGGTATCCTTCAGACTACAAGGGCATTTTACTTCCAGGTTATTCACAAGCCCATCTGGGGCTACTCCAAGGATGCCAGTTGGGTTTAGTCATAGTCCTGTTTGCTTGTATTATTTCACTGGTTCTGCTTCATGTATTCATATCAAATGAACTAGTTTTATAGTGATGCTTGTCAAAATAACAAATAGATAAAGGCTGGTTCCACATTTAGTATCTTGAAATAAAGGATGGTTCCATATTTAGTATGTTGAAATAAAGGCTGGTTCCACATTTAGTATCTTGAAATAAAGGATGGTTCCACATTTAGTATCTTGAAATAAAGGATGGTTCCACATTTAGTATCTTGAAATAAATGATGGTTCCACATTTAGTATCTTGAAATAAAGGATGGTTCCACATTTAGTATGTTGAAATAAAGGCTGGTTCCACATTTAGTATGTTGAAATAAAGGCTGGTTCCACATTTAGTATCTTGAAATAGAGGATGGTTCCACATTTAGTATCTTGAAATAAGGATGG